AAGCACAGTAGCATGATCCCCTCAAGCAGAAATGGCCAATGCCTTTGTTTTCTTACCCCATTTGCCTTGCCTTCCTGCCCTCTGTACCTTATTTTGAAGAAGCACTGATTGCACAGAGCAACTGACATGGTTTTACAAAGCGCTAACTAGATCTCAGACAGGTTTAGGGCCTAGTAATCAACTCTGGGAATTAGCGAAATTCGAAAACACATTTTATTCAAAAACAATGGCAATTCAACAAAGTTTCGTATCATACTGCTTAACAATTTTGACAACTTATGAGATAGTGGATACACTCTATTAAGAAATATGTTGTAGTTATTTATTTTAAAAAGCATATGTGCAACTTTTTATAGAAATGGTTCAAGACCAACTGCATTGTGTGCCTGATTTTAAAACCCTAAGTGGGATCCATGCTTATAAGAATACAAAGCTTATTTCTGAACACCAGAGCAGATATTGCACTCTTCTCAAGTCAAACCATATTATACTAGCAACTTTTGGTCACATTACATTTCATCATTTCAATAAAATTAATGACATCTGATGATTGATAAGAAAAAAAATCTTTTGAAAATAAAGTATTTGGAAGCATTGATTTTGAAAGATACACACTAATGATTAGGAACACTGCATTTCTTTGAACTTTCAAATAACTACTGCTTGTTGGTGCTTCTAGTACCCAGTAGTACATTTCAACAGTTTCACTGGAATCTATTAAAGTCCATATATAAGCCACATGAATTAAATGAGTTACATGAACCTGGGTTATACTGCCCAGGTTCATGCAGTATAACCAAGTTGTATAAGATTACATCTTTTGATGGTGAATTCTATTGAAAATTATACTATATACTATTATGCAATTTTTCGATACCTGTTAACTAAATTGTTTATTCTGATTACTAAATCATGTATGTTAAAAGGAAATAGATTTCTGGGTTTTTTTATTTAAAAATTGCACATCCGAAGATATGCTTTTAAAAAATCCCAACTTTCCTTATTTCTATAAGTGGTGTGTAAAATTCTAACAATCTAGATATTATGGTTGACACAATAACATTACTACAGACTATTTCAAAAAGATGGACCTGATTTGAATTAAAAATATAATCAGTAATATCAGGAGAAAACATATTGGAATAAATCTTAAGGTATTTTTTCTATCTAGATTCAAAAAATATTAAGTAGAAACTTATAATTAAAGAGAAATATAAAACCTGAATTAAGTTAGCTTGAATGCTAAACTCCTTAGCTTCTGTTTTATATGTTTATTTTTCATTAAATTTAGGATTGCTTGTGGTTTAGTCAACATTTATTCCTATCTGTTTTTCATATACAAAGGCATTAGGATGCCAGAAAATAAACTGTTAACGGAGAATTAACTTCTTTGGCATGCTTTCATACTTATCTTCCAAATTAAAGAAAATGAAATGGGCAGAAGCAGAGTGTAGATTACCTCCTTTTTTGTCAAAAATGGTGGGAATTTGAAAATTAATAATAAAAAAGGGAACAGATGCAGTAACATGCCAGAGGGAGATTAATGTGGAGAGTAAAATCTGTGAGCAACAAAACTGAAGCAAACTGAATCAGTGGGAGGTGGTTGTACAATCAAAATCAGGATAAAAGAGAAATTACAAACAACCCTGCACTTGTCAAAGTAGTAGTAATGAAATCCTGACTCTGCCAGCAGTGAGAACCTGTGTTAGCACTTTGGGGTAAGGACGGTAGCTGGGTGCCAGGTAGGAGGGCAGTGTTAGGTTGCTGGGCAGCAGCCATCTTGTGTAGAACAGATGGCACCGAAAGCTGGCAGGGGAGGGGCTCCTTAGCAGAACTAATCAGACAGTAACAGATAGGGCAGCTGGGAAGACTGACCACGGAGAGGCAAACGGCAGGATAGCTGCAGAGCTCCATGATGTTTGCAGTGGTGTGCCCATTGGTCTGATAGAAGACCTTGCCATGCCTTTTTACTGAAAAACTCATAACACACACAAACTTTTGTTAACTGAGCAGTTTCCTTACAAAAAATTGCAACGCAAGGAATGTTTAAATCCACTGATGAACAGACTCTGAATTATTCACTTTAAGGGAAAATCCATATTTCCCTACATAATGGAAATGTGCTTCGTATGTTTGCTTTTGTTACTTAAAATACATTAATCTTGGTATAACTTAAGCAAACTGTTTGTCCAGAGAGAAGTGCTCTCACTTGTACATTCATCATGTGTAATGTTTTTCTTTGTGCTCTTTCGAAAGCAAGCAAGCACCCCAATCCCTGTATCCCAGTTCTGTAACTTGTAAAGTTTTTAAAGTTGCTCAATTCCCAGGTTTACCAAAGCATTGGCAGTAAGCTTATGGATTTGTAAAGCAAACCTATACATTTGCTAAGAGATAATTCCCAAAGAGTCCAGAGTGGCTTGCTCTAAAGCATAACTTGAGTATAGGATTGTATGCAGCCTATGGACATCACCCTAAAAAATGATAAAATGTCAAAAATGAAATACTGAAACTTAAAAGATTATTGAAGATGTTTGAAAGTCATTAATTAAAATGATACTGAAATAATAGATCTATTTGCTCAGTTAATTACCTTTGCTGAATGACCAGGAAGGTTGATAAAATACTTTGAAAAGAAGATGTGGATGATGCATCTCTTTGTTCGAAGAAGAAAATTGCAGCCTCTTTTTCTGTGTTTCAACTTGTGTATTTTTCCCTTTACAGAAGGTTTATGGCGTGGCTCAATTATTCATTTTCAGTGGGGAGGGGAAGAAACATTGTGGGGATTTGAAATAGGTGGTATAACACAGCCATATGCTATTTATGCATCAGTTTCTGCAATATATCTAATTTAGGGCTGTCAGAAAAAATTAGACTTATTTGATATAGCAGCATATTAGTGAATGACTACAATAGAATTGAAAGTTGCCATTTGTTCTACTGATTTGTAACCAAATCTTGCAAGCATTTTGTTGTTGTTCCTTTCCCTGAAAAAATCTGTGAAAATGTCTTGGCTCTTTGTCCTGCAGCTGCGCAAACCACAAATATTTCTTCAGCTGAAAAGAAGGTCTTGTATAAGGTAATTTTATAAAAAGGCACGACAACAATTAATAATCCTCTCTTTTTTTTCAAAATGTGCAAAATTAGTGACTGGGGCAGGGAGTGACCTATTCCCTTGCTATAGGATCTTCCTCTTATTGCTGAAGTAGACTTTAGTTAAATTCTGTATTTTTATAGAAGGTGAAATAATTTACTTGTCATTACCTAACATATTTGCTGTTTTATGGTGACACATATAGAATGATTTGGAGTAAATCAGCTTTCTGATTCTCTGGCAATGCCTTTAAAATCGTTATAGCAACATACTTTTTAAACAGACAGTTGACTCATCCTTTCTTGTCTAATACTTTAAATAGTTGCTGTTCTTTTAAAAATACTTTGAGATCATAGTATTTCCAAAGCCATTAATGAACTACTGTGGGAAGAAAATACTCTCTAACATCTTAACAGCTAAACAGACTGTTAACCTATTACTGTATCTTTAGTTGTGTTTGGTTTTTAGAAAGGGATAAAAAATTTCTAATCTGATACTTTCTTTGTGGTGCTTCAGTTTTTATTTGAAGCTGGGAGGATTGATAAATATGCCTGACAATCTATGAAACATTTCATTTATACAGTTTTATTGGTACTTTCTCATTATAGGAAAATTAATAGATCTTGATGTCTATCTTAAGGTTCTGATATTATAAAAAACAATCTGTTTTGTATTTGGAAAGTTAGTTCATGTATGTGTATTTCTGCTGCAAATATGTTTGCATTTTGAAGACAGATTAAAAACATAAATGGAGTCTCTTAATGCACATTTATAATGTTTAACATTTCTTGGGGAAATAAGTGTATCGTTTTCCTCTGTGTGAGATTGTTTTCATTAAGTTCTTCCCTTGCATAGGTTATACACAAAAAAATTTATTTAAATAATTGATATTGTGATTATTACACTGGACAACTATAAACCTTTTTTCTATTTTATATGCTAAAATCATAAAAGACTATGATTAAAACAATTATTATTTTATTATTGATCAAGGCCTCTCATGACATAGAAATGAAGATGGTAAGCAGTGAAAAATTACAAATCAATGATTACTTATTTCTTCCCCATCTGGTAGCTCTCTTCTGTCTCTGGTCTGTTCAATTATGACAGGGAGCAGACTTCTTCCCAGCTCAATTGATGCATTTTTCCATGGCAGCATGATTGCCACATCAACTGTCCCACTATTGCGTGTCTTATTCATGTAGTCTGTGAGCATTCTGCAGCTGGTGGATGCATTTTTGTCCTGACTATAGCTATTTCATGTTATCAGCGGAGCATAACTTGTAAGAACGGGTCAATTACATGGGATAGGTAAAATAGTAGATCACTATATTATAGACCTTTCTAAAGGACTTTAAACATTTTATTCTCCTTATCTTATAGTACACTAAATATTATGCCACGATTAGTTTACGTTTATAAACATATCAAAAACCAAATTCTGAAGTGAACAGGTATTAATTATTTGTTTGTATAGAGATATTTGCAATTCTTAACTAATTAAGATATTATATATATATATATATATATATATATATATATATAAAAGAAATAATTTGTTGCTAAGAAGCATTTGAAAGTTGGCACTTTATGCTTGAATAATAATTATGAAATAGTAACAAAGTACAATTAAGTTTCTGCTAACATTCTAACACATTTTTAATCGGTAAAGAAAATGATCTTATCATTTGGATATCCCTCAAGGAACCTTTTTGTAAGATGAACCTTGTTGTGGCTTTGTGAAACCATTTAAGAGGTTAATTAATAATTCAATCGTATATGTTGCTATCGGAACCAATTTTTGAAAAGCAGATGCATGCCTGAATAGCTCTACATAATAGATCCTGTTGACAGCATGAAAGACTCAGAGTAGCTGTACAGCTATTTCTGTTAACTTGAATAGCAAGCATGAATAATCATATATAGAATATCTTTCTTTACCAGAAAAACTGTAGGTTTTATTTATTTTTAATGAGAAATATTTAACATTTATTAATTTGGACTTTAATATAAATATGATGTACTTTAGAGGCAGCATTGTAACAGGAAATCAGGATATCCCTGCTTTGCTCTTCTTTTTTCTTCTCTACATGATTTAGTTTTTAATTTCTGCTCATTTTCCTTAACTTGAAAATGGATTGTACCTTCTCTCTCCTTACATCATTTTTGTCATTGTCTTCTCTTTTGTCTATTGCATATTTGCCAAATGGTAAGCTGTACTCTACAAGGTATCCACATAAAGTAGTATAAGCACAAATGAAAATTTTGCAGGATTTTAAAATGATCATTAAACACATAATTTTACTTTTCCCTATTGTCTTTTCTATTCCAAAAAGTAATTTTTACAAATGGATAACTGTCCAGCTTTGTCTTTTTGTTAGGGATTAAATCTGTGCCGACAGTTCTTTTTGACAGTGACCTTGAGGGGCTTTGCATCTTGAAGAAGAAAGCAGAAGCTTGCGGTAAACAAAGTTCACTTCTGACAGATGGATTGAATGACAGAAAGGTTGTGAGTGCCAGAATAGCCCTGGCAGAGGAGGAAATGTTCAGTGGAATCCAACAGGAGAGGAGGTGTGAACAGGTGCAGGGTTGCTGACGGAAGGGGAACCAGATGGAAGGAGCCAGAGCCAGTTTATTTAAAGGAAAAGGCAGAAAACACTGAAAGACTGTACAATCAGTGGCTAAAAGTGTGCATAGAAGAAGGTAAAAAACCAGAAAGCAAAACTGCACAGTGGGATATCGAGCACTTAGCGTAATGACAGTAATTGTGAGTTTAGTTGGAAAGTTGCTATTAAAATCCATTCATCCATTGCTCTAAATAACATAAAGTGTTTAAAACACTTTTTAAATTGACAGGGATATTGCTTTGTCTGTCATTTTTTTGTAATGTTAACACACAAAAGTTATGATTAGGAAAATGTTGTAGTTCACGCAAGCCAAATCAAGATAATAGCAAGATAAGACTTTCATATTAGCTTCTAGTTGTTGGGGGGAGGGGGTTGTAATTTTATAAAGAAATGTCAGATTGTGACAACATTTGATAGAAATTAGATAATTGTATCTGGTGTATTTTGCAACTTTTAATTATTTCTTGGGCAACAAAATGGAGGATGATTTTTGAAGATATATTGGTTTTATGACTTTTAGACAAGTCAGGTACTTTGCTGTACAAATGTGTACAGTTATTGTTTGTCTATTAAGAGCACAATCTATTTCACTTGATGGCATTTTCGTCCTCCCTGAGAGTTTTCCCTTGCGTGGCACAGCATATGATGTTCTCAAAATTCTAGGAGTTGTAAAATCAGTGTCAGCTGAAACACAAAAAATCCTTGTCAGGGTGTTTGAGCCCTGGAAGTGCATTTTAAGGTACTGCTGTACTTTAAGTCTACAGTCTTCAATCAAAACTTCAATCCTATATGTTGATTAAATTGTTTTTAAATATAAACATTTTAAAAGATAATTGTGCAGAAGTACCCCAAATGCCAGTTATTTCTAGCTAAATGGATGTCTCTTAGATTCTGAATGGAGACTATGTCAGTGGGACATTAATAACACTTTATGATATTGGTAACTAAAAACAAGGTATAATTTTATTGTGTGTTCATCAAACTGTAAGAGACTTTCCTTTAAAATCGGTTGATTTGTGCCAGTGTTTTTCAAAACTAATTATGCACTGATTTTTATCTATTCTGCTCCTAAATCAGTAGAAGAGTTTGAAACAGATTTAGAAACACATGTTTTCACCTCCAAATCAGGTTGAACATCCCCTAATAAAAATGCTTGAAAAAAGGAGTGCTTTGTCTTTTGGATTTTGGAATACTTGAATAAGGAGGTAACTTGCAGAAGAGTCCCAAGTAGAAAGAAAATCCTGTTTCATAGCTTGAAAGCAATTTTAGATGCAACATTTTTAATAATTTTGTGCATGAAACAAAGTTTGTTTACATTGAACCATTGAAAACAAAGGTCATCCATTATCTCACCCATCTATGGGGACAGTTTTGGATTTTGGAGTATTTTGCATTTTGGAATTCCAGATAAGGGATGTTCAACCTGTAAAAATATGCAATTTACTATTATAAATAAAAACAGCTGTCAAAAATATATCATAGAAAAGATTCATTTTTAAAAGATAATTCAAATATGAAAAATAAAAACGACTGTAAATAGCCATGCTCTCACCTCTACTTTTCTTCAGGCAGTTGCTGATGTAGCCCTGAAGTATACCTACAAAACTATATAACAAATCAATCGCATGGCTTTTTAAAATAAGTGCTAATCTATCGTTTTGATTTTTTTTTTTTGGCAATCAGGGATTTTTGATTTACAGGCACATGCCTTTAGCTAAGTAATGTAACTACTGTACAATATAGAGTAATCTGATTTGGACATACTGGTAACAAGTATGTTTACAAATCAAGTAGAAAGATGATTTCTTCTCCTGCATGCACTCCTGTGTGTGCTGGAGGGAAATCCCATTGAGTCTTTCCCCCCCTCTGTTTTCATCTTTCTGCCAGAGGCATACATTCTGCTGTGCTCAGACTGGAACATGCACGTTTCCCACTGACTGTTTATATGCCATCCTCGCACAGAGCCATAGGGAGAAGTGGAGCCATTGAGGACATGGATGTGGTGTGTCACATACACATAAGGATGGTTGAACAATGATGAGAAATGGGAATGGGATCAGCAGAGTTCCCATTGCTCTGATTGAGAGTGGGTGTTTTTATATATTGGAAAACATAATTTGATCATGTGGCAAGTACAACCTCTCTACCTCTCTGGCAACCTCTTGCAATCAGACAGTCTATGTGTTTTAAGTTAAACAAAAGAACCTCACCAATCCCAAATCCAATTGCTTTGGCTGTCTCCAGGAAACATAGCTTATGATTTAATGAGTTATTTAACCATTCCTTTGATCTAAGGAAGCAGAAATGTATATCTAGATTCAGAAATTATTTTATGTAATACAGTAAGACTCCATATCCATGGGGAATATATTCCTGGCCAGATTGTGGTTATGTTAAACAGCAGATATGACCAGACCCCATTAAATTACTTTACTTCTGATCCTAGCATACCATATAGTTTATTTACCTTACTTATATACCGCTGTTCTCAGCCCGAAGGCGACTCACAGCGGCATGGGAGGATCTAGGGCTGTTCCACACAGCTATATAACCCAGAATATCAAGGCAGAAAATCCCACAACATCTGCTTTGAACTGGGTGATCGGAGTCCACACTGCCATATATTCCTGTTCAAAGCAGAAAATGTGGGATTCTATTCAGCTGTGTGGAAGGGGCCCTGTCCTAGGCATTCCTAAAGAGATATTCCTAGGATGTCACATAGGTGTGCATCACTACAGTGGAATCAGATGTATCTACTCTGCCAGGAGTTAATAGGGTTGTGATACAAATTGTGCAAATGCACTCCTTACCAGTGCCTGGGAATGGGATATAATGAGCTCATATAATACAATTAAACTAGCTGTTAAAAGATAGAGATTTATGTCACTATACATATTTTATTCTCTTCCCTCTCCATCTGCAACTCCTTCACATCAAGAAAGATTCTCATGCATGATAATTGATGATAATAGCAAACTCATTTCATACTTTGCAAAAGACACCTCTCTCCTCTCTTTGATTTTTCCTCTGACACAACTACTGCTGTTTTTTCTGTTTTTAACAATGTTTCCAAATATGACCAACCGGTACAATGTCTCACTTCTATCTTTCTTTCTGAGTCCAAGAAAAGAAAAAGCGAATCCATTTCCATTTACTTTTGGAAATAACATTTGTCACATTTTTCTGATGCTTTTTTTTAATTATATCCATAGCAAAAGGAAGAATAAGGAATACCAGCTGTTAGGAATTGTGGGAGTTGCAATCCAAAACACCTGGAGTGCCAAAGTTTGCCCATGCCTGCTTTTGACAGTGTTTTCCATTATATTCTTCCAAACAAGCTAGTAAAGTGTGGGCTGGTCAATGCTATTGGGAGAGCTGAAATGTAAGAGATGGTATTTCACAAACTCATGTCTTTTTTAAAAAACAAAAAAAACCCCCTAAATATCAAATATTCCCTATATTTATATTTAAGAATATACTAGGGTTATCCGGAAAGTAAGGTTATAAGATTTAAAAATAAAAAAATAAAAATAAAAATACAAAGAATGAATATATTTTAATAAAACTTAAATGGATTGTAACATAAGTATTACATTATTTTTCCACATAATCACCATTCAGTTCAATACATTTTGTCATCTGTAGGATGGGTTTTTGATGCCTTTGTCATAGAAGTTCCCCTCCACCTTTTTCAGACAGTTTGTCACTTCAATTTTCACCTCGTCGCTGTTGGAAAAGTGTTTCCCACCAAGGTGTTCCTTCGATTTTGTAAACAGATTATAGTCACTGGGTGTTGGATCGGGTCTGTGAGAGGGGTGGCTTAAAACATCCCAACCAAATGAAATCAACTCTTGTGTTGCATGAACACTGAGCAGACACGCATTGCCATGAAGGAGACAGACTTCCACTGTCAGCATCTCACAACTTTTGTTTTGGATGGCTCTGCAAAGTTTCTTTATGGTCTCACAATATATTCCATACCCATTTTGTCACATGCTGTCTTGATATTACATCATCTCCATAAACTAAAACTATTTCACAATGAATCGCAGTGGCATTCATGCCCTTATCATTTAGGTAGTATATTACAGTGCGAACTTTGCACTTCAAGGGAAATGGAATGAGGACGCTCATCTCTAACCTTCACCACAATACCAATCAATGAGCTACTGATGACTGACACTGCTTGTTCGCTTCCGCGACTTCCCACTACACGGCAGTGATACCAACTTTCCCGTGAAAATTCCCGCAAGAGTTATGTATCTTGTAACCTTACTTTCCGGATAAGCCTCATATGTATGGTCAATGTATGTATTTTAATCAGTTAAAATCCCAAAGTCAGCTTTCACATTCATTTCTGAGCTTCATAATTCAAAAAAGATATTGACTATGTCTAGAGAAGACAGTAGAATATTCTTCCTCAGAGTGTGGTGAAGTCTCCTTCTTTGGAGGTTTTTAAACAGGCAGCACAAGATGGTTTATAAGCCAGGTTTTAGCCATCCCTACATAGAAGAGATTTATTTTTGAGTTAGCCAGGATTATTGTCATTGCTGCTGTCTTCAAGTCATTTCCAAATTATGATGACTCTTAAGACGAACCAGTCATGGAGTTTTCTTGGCAAGATTTATTCAGAGAGGGTTTTGCTTTTGCTTCCTTCTGAGACCAAGGCTGCCTCTACATAGGACAAAATGACACAAACCAGAATTTAAAATTCTAACATGTGCCACCTGGGGGACGGGGGACTTATCGGTATGGGTGGGGGTGAAATATCCCCACTGTGCTGATGTGGTGTTGACATGGTAAATGCCCTTCCCTCTTTTCCCAAACCTCTGTCACATTATCACAGAAGCCTCCAAGAGTCTGTGTTGGGGGGGGGGGGTAAAGGTCAGGGAAGGGAGAGTGGCACTGCCATCCCACCTTCCCAGGCTGCCTGAGTCCGGGGATGATTATTTATTTATTTATTTATTTCGAGGTTTTATATACCGACCCTCTCACCTTCAAAGAGGGATTCGGACCGGTTCACAACATGTGTTAACATACAAAGAATATACAATAACAACACAATGCCACTTCATTACACGATTAAAATATCAGCACCATACACATTAAAACATTATCATCCCAGTTAAAAGAGCCAAATCGTCCGACACCATCACAATCCCATTCATCATCCTCCTTTCATGTGGGCAAAGAATTAAATCAGTTGTCAAATGCCGCGTTCCACAACCAGGTCTTTGTTAGTTTCCTGAACGTCATGAGGGAGGGGGCAGTTCTGATCTCTAATGGCAGGGAGTTCCAAAGTCGAGGGGCCACCATCGAGAAGGCCCTGTCCCTCGTCCCCACCAGCCGTGCTTGTGCAGGCGGAGGGACCGAGAGCAGGGCCCCTCCAGACGATCTTAGTGGTCTTGATGGTTCGTAGGGGAGAATACGTTCGGAGAGGTAAACAGGGCCGGAGTCGTTTAGGGCTTTATAGGTTAACACCAGCACTTGAATTGTGCTCGGAAGCTAATCGGCAGCCAGTGGAGTTCGAGTAACAGCGGAGTGGTGTGCTCCCTGTACCCCGCACCCGTTAGTAATCTGGCTGCCGCGCGTTGTACTTGCTGCAGCTTCCGGGCAGTCTTCAGAGGCAACCCCACGTAGAGAGCGTTGCAGTAATCTAAGCGGGATGTAACCAAAGCGTGTACTACCGTGGCCAAGTCAGCCCTCCCAAGGTACGGACGCAGCTGGTGCACAAGTTTTAATTGTGCGAATGCTCCCCTAACCACCGCTGAAACCTGGGGTTCCAGGCTCAGCAATGAATCCAGGAGAACTCCCAGACTGCGTACCTGTGCTTTTAGGGGGAGTGTGACCCCATCCAGCACAGGCTGTAACCCCGTACCCTGTTCGGTCTTACGACTGACCAGGAGTACCTCTGTCTTGTCTGGATTTAGTTTCAATCTGTTGTCCCTCATCCAGTCCGTGACAGTGGCCAAGCACCGGTTCATGACCTGAACAGATTGTGGAGACAGACATTTGGGATCAGAGATGGTGATCCAAAATTATCAAGGGCAGGACCTCTAACAACAAGCCAAAGTGTGCAGCAGTCCCAAGTCAAACCAGACAGTAGACCGAAACACTGAATACTTAGGGGAAGAATCAGGAGGGACAGCCAAATGTGTAGTCCAGGGACATACCCTTTCTTAAGGGGTAGTCCACTTACTTTGAGTGCAGCTTGTTTTATCAGGAAGCATTAGAAGGAATATTCCCTATATAAAGTGAAAAAGCTCAGATTCCTATTGAATGTAGCAAGCAAGAGAGTTGCTAATTCTTTTGGTCCATGACAACCTTCTTGGTGACCGCTCCCAGACTTTAACAAACTGATCAGGATTGGATTTTTAATGCTGGGTGGTACTTTTAAAGGTTTATATTTAATATTTTAATGCATTTTAATATTTTAAGGGTGAATATACTTTAACTCCATAAAATGTTTACTTATTTTTAAAATATATTAATACATTTAGTCATGCCCTTTTAATTTTGTTTTTAATATGTATTATTTTAAATAGGTTGTTTGCTGTTTTGAGTCCCACTATCAGGAGAAAGGTGGTATATAAATTAATAAAATAATAATAATTTGTTTCTGACAGTGACTGATTTAACTTATAAAGTGTTTTTGTTGTACCAGTTGAGGCAACCGGTTTTGAGTTATTCTTCTAATATACTAATTCCTCTTCCCCAAGGTGGGCCTATGGATTGGGGAGCCCTCCTGACCCCGCTCCCCACAACTTTTTTTTAGTATCACTTGAGCCTGATGAATTCTGGAGAACTTGACATTACTATCCCATTTGTGTACATTTGGTCCCAATTAAAAGCACTTCTTGATTTGATTTTGTTAATTTGATTATGCATTTGTTATGTCTTTGCTCATATACTAGTGTGCTCAAAATATAATATAAAGTTGGCTTTATGGTGTTTCAACTTGCAAGAATTGTTCTGATTAATTTTCAATGTTTTATTTATTGTTTTGTTACTAAGGATTGGATGAGAATTAAAATGATTATTTAGTATCACAAAATTCAAAATCTGCCTTATTGGAATATTCCCTCAATGAAGTTGGTACTGCATTACTATGTGGCTTTCAGACAACTAGAGTGGCGGGGTTTATGTGGCACACACAGTTTAACATTTTTTTCCTAAGCGTCCACCTTTTTTAACGCTTCCATAGGTTAGAAAAAGAGAATATTCAGCACAGCTTTAACAAGGAAGCAAAGACCCGAGCCCTTCAGGCCCAGCAGAGAGAGCAGGAGCTGACACAGAAGATGCAGCAAATGGAGGCACAGCATGATAAAACTGGTAGGTGGTCGGGAAAGATTAGAGCTTGGGCACTCACTCACAAGCCTGACCCACGCCTTACTGTGAAATGACATCAGGAACACCTGTAACCTTTGGCTGGCCGAAGGGAGCAGATGCTAACTACACCGGAGATTCCGAATTACATATTAGTTAGCGTTTAAAAGAGAAAATGGAAAGTATTGCCCACTGTCTGTTGATTTCAGAGTGCTGCTCTCACATCTGTTGCACCATCTGGATTATGAGTTTATTTACCTGTGTTCAAGAAACGTAAAGCTGAGAGAGACCACAACAAAGTAGAAAAACAAAGGACTTGTTTTTGGCTGCATTTTCAGGCACACATGTTATATAAAGAAAATAGCATCAGAAGCTCTGCAGGAAATGCTCTGAGCTTACAGTTAAAGTCTCCTGAATAGCATTGAACAGTTCCCACAGTACACACATTATAGCTACTCTAAAAGCTTAATGAGTTTGCTTCAGAATCCAAACTGGAGAAAAGCTTTAGCCATTAATCGGTACTTAATTCACTGTCGCAGCTGGATGTAATTCACTGGCTTCAAATTAATATGTTCCTTTATTTAATCTTTGCAGCCTCACACATTTTTAGCATTTGTATACTCAGTCCTCTTCAAATCTAGATAGATCTTTAATCTTTTGCAGCTATGAGAACCCAAAGTATGCAGTTTAAATTGATAAATATGGGACATTGTCAACAGCTGCCAGCATGACTGGAACCTGATGTGTTCCAATATTTTGGCACAGCTGTCCTATAATTCTTTACCTTTATAGCATGCAAATAAAATGGATTTACAGAATTGTTGCAATCAGAGCATTGTATGCAATCCTTTAATATTGGGAGTGGACTAACTGCTTTTTAGGCCCACAACAGAACCATACCATGAGCTTTAGAACTGTAGCATATTTGCATACTTTAGCTATAAATGGCATTATCACAGAAAATATGCATAAATTGAACATTTCAGAACCTGAACTCTCAAACTGCAATTGGTAAATGTTTTGCAGTTGGCAATTCATTGAGCCAAAATAAAGGCATTTCAGTTCGTGCGTGGAGTGTAAATGAAGCTGGTCAATTTACTAAAGCTTGGAATAATATGTCTTTACCATTATTAGTGGCGCAGTGGGTTAAACCCCTGTGCCGGCAGGACTGAAGACCGACAGGTCGCAGGTTCGAATCCGGGGAGAGGCGGATGAGCTCCCTCTATCAGCTCCAGCTCCTCATGCGGGGACATGAGAGAAGCTTCCCACAAGGATGATAAAACATCAAAATTATCCGGGCATCCCCTGGGCAACATCCTTGCAGATGGCCAATTCTCTCACACCAGAAGCGACTTGCAGTTTCTCAGGTCGCTCCTGACATGACAAAAAACAAAAACAAACCATTACTAGTGTGTTATGTCTGGTTTAACAAAACATTTACTGTTTATTAAAGGGCAAAGAAAACAATAGCAAATAAATAAATTTACTTCCCCTTAGATATTTTTTATTTCAAAATATACATTGCCCTTCAGGCTCTATCCATAGTTTGGGAATGTAGGTTACACATCAGTAAGATATTGGATATAGCTATCCATGTCTTCTCACATCATGCATATAATGTGAATTAGAGTCTTCACATATGAATGCCAAACGGTTGGGAGAGAGCCTGTAAAGTTAATTTAATTAATAAAAGTGTTCACTTTTATTAGTTTTTTACGATGCTTCTGTACCACAATTCCAAGAACTCAAAGCATAATAGTCCACATTAAAAAGTGATAGTTTGATGGAGTATGGGGTGGTTTTTTTTTGGGGGGGTTTTTTTTTTTTTTGCACCTTGACTATAACCTACTGGCCCGTACTGCATATAAATGGTTCCATATTTCTGGGAGAATTTCATAATATAAAATAAAAAAATGACCATGGTATACTTCTGTGCCACCTTGCTAGAACTTGATTACAGTGACTCCATTCCTTCCTAGAGGGGCGAAAATAGTGCTGGAAAATTCCTCTTCGAGCCCCTGGCTGTTGGCCTGTGGGTTCCCTCAGATCTCAGTTTTGTCGCCCATGTTATTTAGCATTTACATGAAACCAGTTGGAGAGGTCATCTGTAGTATTGGTGTGCAGTACCACCTATATGCAAAAGACCCTCAGCTCTACTACACCCAGCCCCTTTCCACCCGAAGCTAAGGAAGCTGTTCTGGTCCTCAACTAGTGTCTGGATGAGAGCAAATAAATTGAAATTAATCCAGACAAGACAGAGGTGCTCCTGGTTAGTTGGAAGGCAGGCCAGTGCTAGATAGGGTTACATTCCCCCTGAGAACATAGGTTCTCATTTTGGGTGTACTCTTGGACTTGGTGTTGAACTTGGAGGCCCAGGTTTCTGTGGTGACCAGGAGTTCACATTAAAACTGATGCACTAGCTGCACTCAATCCTTGAGGCTATGGTGGTACATGCCATAATTACATCTCATTTGGATTACTATAACATGCTGTACTTGGGGCTGCCTTTGAACAGTGTCTGGAAAATTTGGCTGGTTATGTCAAGTACCTATGCCATTTTGATAGACACTACAGCAGATGATGGAGATATTAAGGTGGCTATGCATGTAAGGAATGTTTTTATAGGTTTTCATGCATTTGAGGAGTTTTCTGAATTGCCTGAAAACCACACTAATTTTTTTAATGGAATGGAATGTGGGCTTCAGGGGCTGCAAAAGTACAGTCTGGCAGATACATGCAGCTTGTGGGCTGTACTTTGACAACCTCAAACAACTTTTGTTTTACAGGCAGGCATTTGAAGAAGGATAAGGGACATGTGGCTAGGGAGGTTGTGGGTGGGATTTAGGAGGTTGGGTATTTTAAAATGCATTTTAAAATACCCAACCAGGAGCACCTCTGTCTTGTCTGGATTAATTTCAATTTATTTGCTCTCATCCAGACACTAGTTTCCGGTTCCGGTTCCGGTTGGCAAACAGCTGTAAGATCTCAAGCCGTGCCAGCTGAGGAGTTAATCGAGCGAAATCTAAGGTGATCAATTCCCCAACCCTCCCAGTGTAAGGATATCTGGATCTGGAACAACTAGGGGTCTTGAATGAGACCTTGATGGTCCAAATCGGCCTGAGGGAAGGGAAAGAGGCTGCGGGGCGACGAGGTAGAGCGCCGCCATTACATCTCGGCAAGCTCCCTCATAAATAATATCCTACCTGATACCCGGGACCCTGGGATTGCCTCTGCGGGGTCCTAGCTTCCTTCCCTGGCAGAGATTGAAGCTCTCCCTGCCTATCCACCTCAATCAGGGAGGAGGCGGGGGGAGCCCAGATCGACCGCTGCCTCTGCTGAGCCGAGGGAAACTCCTGCGCCAGTACTCCGGCTGGCAGCTTCTGCTTTGACATCGCAGGGAGGGGGAGAAATGCCCGCTAGCCCCTGCGAATAGCCTTTCATCCGCCATCAGGGGAGCTGAGACACACCGCAGGCCTGCCGAGGTGACGCCCCTCCATTCGGCCCTCCTTCCTGTCGGGCCCATACCATCAGAGGGAGCCAAAGCTTGAAGCGCTCCGCGGGCCCACGAAAAAGAGGCTTGGCTTGGCCTACAGAAGAGGAGTCTCCATTACATCACCACGAGGCCTCCCCACCCGCCTCGCTGGATCCAGCGTTTTGGTCAGCGTTTGTTATTGCTGCCATCGAACTCATAGGAACATTTGTCATCTGCCAACACTGCCATCTCTGGCTGGAGGTGTAAATAACAGCAATACTATCCACTGCCTTCGAACTCATAGGAACATTCGACATCTGCCAACACTGCCATCTCTGGCTGGAGGTGTAAATAACAGCAATACTATCCATTGCCATTGAACTCATAGGAACAACGCGTGGTGAGCATCGCTCCGACTAGGCCTCACCATCTAGGCCCTACCATCTGGACCGACATCATCTTCGGTGCTGACCTTTATTGGGGTGATTGAGGTTGTGCAGACCGATATTGTGTAGATCTTGTGTGTGGACCTTTTCTGTTGACCGATAGTGTGTTGCCCGTTTGTGCAACTTAAGCTGGATATAGACCAACTTGGGCTGACCGCCGCCGTGTCGACCATCTCCGGAAGACTGAGAGACCAATCTGCTATTTTACATCAGCCGTCTTCAGACTACATCTGATCCATAGCATTTTTACCAACTGCTCTGGACCGACATCATCTTCGGTGCTGACCTTTATTGGGGTGATTGAGGTTGTGTAGATCTTGTGTGTGGACCTTTTCTGTTGACCGATAGTGTGCTGCCCGTTTGTGCAACTTAAGCTGGATATAGACCAACTTGGGCTGACCACCGCCGTGTCGACCATCTCCGGAAGACTGAGAGATTCATCCGCTATTGTACATCAACCATCTACAGATTACATCTGAATCACAGCATTTTTACCAACCGCTAATTTCTGTAACACTGTGTTTACAAATTGTGAACTTGCACGTTACTGTTCCTTGTCTATCTTTGCTGCTAAGTAGTATTAAGAACGTAATATAGCACTTTAAGGCGCCTGCCTCTGCTGCTAAACTATACTTGCACTTACGCCCCTTCCCGATCCCTCCTTGCCGCACTTTAGTTAACGGTGAGGGCCAGACCCAGGTATTTTGTCGCACTTTAAGATCATTGCACTTTACGAATTGCCCTAGTGGCACGCAGCCGTGGAGCCTACTATTGTTGCACGTTAAGACTCCTGCACTTTATGTACTATCTTACTTTCGCGGCTGAAACGTTCACTACTCTTGTCCACTACCAATCTTATTGAAGTGTATTGTTATCACCCATGTGGTCCCCCACTTTTCTATTTATACTGTCCTTGATATTAGTGACTAGTGGAAGGAGCAAGGGTAGAAGTGGGCTGGAGCCCGTGGATAACAATGAGGTGGGGAGGGGGGAGAAAGAGAATCAAGGTAATTGGCATGGAAAAACGCCAACAAACCAAACAACTAGTGAAACAGAGACTAAGACCTTGGTTTGGACTGCGGCATGGAGGAGGGGAGGTGTTCCACTAGCCGAGGGGCCCCCATAGAGGTCGTGGTGGGGAGGAGGAGATGCGGTAAAAGGAGACCTCAAATTCGGCCTAATTCGGACCACTTATCAACATTAATAATCCCAAATCGGTCTCCTAAGGTAAATTGGTGTAACCAGGTGAGCGGGCCCTCTGGATTGAAGGTGGTGCTGTGAACGCCAGATCTGTCAACGGAAAAACGACCTTTATCCAGGATTTAATCCTGGATGAGCGGGCAGATCTGGCGTGCATTACGGAGACCTGGCTGGATGAAGCTGGGGGTGTAAATCTCACCCAGCTTTGTCCTCCAGGCTTCTCCGTACAGCACCAACCGAGATCCGGAGGACGGGGAGGCGGGGTTGCAGTGGTCTATAGAGATTCCATCCATCTGACCAGGAGCCCCATCCCGCAGACCACAAATTTTGAATGCGTCCACCTAAGGGTGGGTGACCGGGACAGATTAGGGATTCTGCTAGTGTACCGTCCACCTCGCTGCACTACAGTCTCCCTACCTGAGCTAGCGGGGGTAGTCTCGAGCCTGGCGTTGGAGTCTCAACGGCTTTTGGTGCTGGGAGACTTCAACATCCATGCCGAGGCGACCCTCACAGGAGCGGCTCAGGACTTCATGTCTGCCATGGCAACCATGGGGCTGTCCCAACAAATATCTGGCCCCACCCACTGTGCTGGACACACATTGGACTTGGTTTTCTGCCAGGGATGGGGCAAGGTGGCGGTGTGGAGGAGTTGTCCATCTCTCCGTTGCCATGGACTGACCACTTCCTGATCAGATTTAGGCTCACTGCACCCCCTAACCTCCGCAAAGGTGGAGGACCCATTAAGATGGTCCGCCCCAGGAGGCTTATGGATCCGAATGGATTCCTGACGGCTCTTGGGGACTTTCCCGCCTCCGCGGCAGGTGACCATGTCGAGGCCTTGGTCGCTCTCTGGAATGGGGAGATGGCCAGGGCAATTGACGTGATCGCTCCGGAACGTCCCCTCTCAAGTAGCCGAGCTAAACCAGCTCCTTGGTTTACTGAGGAGCTGGCAGTGATGAAGCGAAGGAAGAGGGAACTAGAGAGCGTGTGGCGTTCGGACCCAAGCGAGTCAAATCGAGCACGGTTTGTGTCCTTTTTAAGGGCATATGCCGCGGCAATAAAAGCCGCAAAGAAAACGTTTCTTTGCGGCCACTATTGCGTCTGCAAAAAACCGTCCGGCGGAGTTGTTCCGGATTGTCAGAGGTCTTTTAACTCCCGCCACCTCAGGCGGGAGCCCTGACAATTCGGCCACGCGCTGCGAAGCATTTGCTCGGTTCTTTGCAGACAAAGTCGCTTTGATCCATTCTGGTCTGGACACCATGTTAAATGCAGTCTCTGAGGATGTGACACGAGCACCTGCTTGTCCTATTTTGATGGATTCTTTTCAGTTTGTGAAGCCCGAGGATGTGGACAAGATACTTGGAGGAATGAGGCCCACCACGTCCATCCTAGACCCCTGCCCATCCTGGCTTCTGAAGGAGGCCAGAGGGGGATTGGCTGAGTGGGTAACGGTGGTGGTTAATGCCTCCCTTCGGGAAGGCAAGATTCCAGCGAGCTTAAAACAGGCTATTATAAAACCGCTGTTGAAGAAACCATCACTGGACCCCACTAAATTTGACAACTTTCGGCCTGTTTCCAATCTCCCCTTTTTGGGCAAAGTCATGAAAGCGTGGTGGCCTCACAACTCCAGGTATTCTTGAGAGACACGGATTATCTGGATTCGGCACAGTCTGGTTTCAGACCGGGACATGGAACTGAGACAGTCTTGGTCGCCTTAGTGGATGATCTGCGCCGGGAGCTAGACAGGGGGAGTGTGTCCCTGTTGGTGCTCCTGGACCTCTCAGCGGCCTTCGATACCGTCGACCACGGTATCCTTCTGGGGCGCCTTGTGGAAATGGGTCTTGGGGGCACTGCTCTGCAGTGGCTCCAGTCATTTCTGGAGGGCCGCACCCAGAAGGTGTTATTGGGGGACTCCTGTTCAACACCACAGCCTTTGACCTGTGGGGTTCCACAGGGCTCTATACTGTCTCCCATGCTGTTTAACATCTACATGAAGCTGCTGGGTGAGATCATCCGGAGTTTCGGGGTGCGGTGTCATCTGTACGCAGATGATGTCCAGCTCTGTCACTCCTTTCCACCTGCTACTAAGGAGGCTGTCGAGGTCCTGAACCGGTGCCTGGCCGCTGTGACGGTCTGGATGAGGGCGAACAAACTGAAACTAAATCCAGACAAGACAGAGGTACTCCTGGTCAGTCGCAAGGCCGAACAGGGTATAGGGTTACAGCCTGTGTGGATGGGGTCGCACTCCCCCTGAAGACGCAGGTTCGCAGCTTGGGTGTGATCCTGGACTCATTGCTGAGCCTGGAACCCCAGGTTTCGGCGGTGACCAGGGGAGCATTTGCACAGTTAAAACTTGTGCGCCAGCTGCGTGCATGGACCTTGGGAAGTCTGACTTGGCCACGGGTAGGCGCTGGTCACATCCCGCCTTGACACGGCAGCCATGTTACTAACAGGAGCGGGACGCAGGGAGCATACAACGCCCTTGTTGTCCCAGCTCCACTGGCTGCCGATTTGCTACCGGGCCCAATTTCAGGTGCTGGTGTTATCCTACAAAGCCCTAAACGGTTCCGGCCCAAAATACCTTTCGGACCGCATCTCGGCCTATGAGCCCACGAGGACCTTGAGATCATCTGGGGAGGCCCTTCTCTCGATCCCGCCGGCTTCACAGGCACGCCTGGCGGGGACGAGAGAAAGGGCCTTCTCGGTGGTGGCCCCCCGGCTGTGGAACGACCTCCCTGCTGACATCAGACAGGCGCCCTCCCTTCTGTCCTTCCGTAAGAGCCTGAAGACCTGGCTATTTGAGAAGGCATTCAACTGAGCGCTACGGCAACTGGTAATTGACAACTGGAACGGAATACGGATTACGATATTGGTTATGATTCTATGATGTGATGGAGCGGATTATTTAGTGTAACTTAGATTATAGTGTATTATTGTTGTATTGATTTCCTGTTTTGCCCTTTTGTAAACTGTTTTTATATGTTGTGCACCGCTGCGAGTCGCCCTAGGGCTGAGAGCGGCGGTCAATAAATGCAGTAAATAAATAATAAATAATAAATAAATTTTAATTTTATTTATTGTCTATTAACACACACAACACTGTTTAATAATTTTTTAATTTTTGTATATGCTTTGTTTTAAATGGATCAAAGTGTGTGACTGTTCATTGCCTTGAGTCCTCTCGGGGAGAAGAGGTGCATAAATAAAGTTTTTAAAAATATGAATTAAGGTACTTAGAAGATGCTTTGTTCCATCTGGTTTTGCCCACCCATTGGCAGCAGAATTCTAGCTTGACCACATTTTAAAGACAGTGATAGCATCCATTCTCCTTAGACCTCCTCGAAAACAAATGATGCATTTACTCTGTCACAGATCAAATGGATGGTGAAAACATCCTAATAACCTTTTCATATTAAATATCTGCCCATAAACTATAGTTTTAGTTTAACAATAGTGTATATTTCTATTGTTATGACATTAGATGGCAGGCTGTAAGTCCTGGGTCTCTTTCATATATTGCAGCATTTTGATCCCACTTTTTAAATTTTTTAATTGAATTGATACATTATATATGATATCATAATACAGTAATAAACCACAATCTAAAATTTTGTGTTATCCTCTTCACCTTCTCTTCCTAAGTCACAGATATTTACAAACTAACTGTACAGCCAAATTTGATTTTTCACATGTTTAACAAGTGATAACTGTATATCATTTTGAAAACTTGCTTGCTCTTTTGTATATCTTTTCTTTTTTTCTTTTTTCTTTTTTCTTTTTTCTGTTTTTTAAATTTTCTACTTTGTTTCTTGTGTACACTATAAAACAACAAAAATATTTTAAAAATCATGATAAAATATTTGACATAAAATGGTAACCCACAAGTATATGTTTCCTATAAAGAAGACTGATTCTTGCTATTCTTAGGGAGAACCAAAGAGCTCCATATTTGGTTCAGGAAGCTTCCATTATTCAGATATAGTCACTGATAAGTATACGATGCATCGAAAGAAGCTGGAACATGCACTTGTACATGGTGGGCCAAAAGTCAGAAAGGGGCCCTATATATATATAATGCTGTGATATGAGACACATTTTTCCCCACAAATAATGTATGTTTATTTGCTATATATACTGTATATGATGCTATGGTATTGTAAATTAAAAACAACACTTTTACAGAGTTTTGCATTTTGCTACAGTATTAGTTAAGGCATTTTTTTCAAAAGAAAATGTGCTTTCCTCTTAGAATAGAAAAAGCTTAGGTTTTAAAATGCCCTGTATTTTATCTAAACATTTGTATATGAAGAAATTCTAAATATTTGCACATATGATTTCTAGTAAATGAACTAGATGTGTTGCTAAGGTCCCAGAATGCACTTCTATCAAAATTAAAAGATGAATGTTGTACTTTGGCGAAGAAGCTTGAAAGTGTCACTGAAAAAAACAGGTATGTAAATGTACAGAAACGTGTGTAGGCTTCTTTACTAATGGGGGCTCTGTAACTTGATAAGTTATTAGTTTTATTTATATTTTACATTTTTTCAGTTGGTTTTAAGAGTGAAACCATTCAATTTTCTTGCACTTATATTTTCAGATTCCATATCACATTTCTGGTCTCTTTCTTCCCTCTCCTATCCTTCAACATGAGCACTTAAATATGAGGTTGTGATACTCAGATCTTGACATTTTCCATCCCTGTATAGATAGGGACACAGGATTTTGTGTTTATTGTGGGCTGGGAAATCCCTCTTACATATTCACGATATGTGTTTTCATTTATATATCATATGCCCAACATACTTGGTGTTAATATACCTCTGACACATTTATTCAGTCTCAAATTGCTAGTATATGCTGCACATGTATAGGCTGTTACTTACATGTGGTTACTGTATTTGAACACAACAGTGACCAAATTGATCGGTCTTAAATAGTGTTACATTTCAAGAATAAGTACATATTTTTTGTAAGAGTGATCTTTATTTTCCACATAACCTATCTATAGGCAACTTAAGTACTGTATATACTCAAGTATAAGCCTAATTTTTCAGTCCTTTTTTTAGGCTGAAAAAGTCCCCCTTGGCTTATAATCGAGTCACGGTTATTTATTATTTTACTCTGTTATTATTATTTTTATTACATTTATTATTTTACTCTATTTATTATTACAGTCATCATTTCACTCTATTATTATTACATTTATTATTTTACTTTATTATTCTTATTACTGTTATTACATTTCCATTATTTTACTCTGTTATTATTATTAATATTAATATTACATTATTTTACTCAATTATTCTTGGAAGGATACGTAAAGCACATTGCACTGAAGAAGGTTAGAATAATGGTTTAATCAATCAATCAATCAAATCATTTATTTCGGTCATTGACCAGCATAGAAAATAGTCACATTTTCATACAAACTTGGTATGTTTGGTACATTAAAAATATAAATATAACGACTGAAGCACAATATGGGTGAGGGAGCAGAAGGGAAGGGGAAACAGGGTAAAAACATAAGGGCAGCCTTATCTTAAATTACCATTTTATTTAAATATTCAAAAACATTTAACCTACTGATGCCTCAATTAAGGAAACTGTATTGGTATCTATTTTTATTTTGAAATTTACCAGTAGCTGCTGCATTTCCCACCTTCGGCTTATCCTCTAATCAATACGTTTCCCAGGTTTTTTTGTGTGGTAAAATTAGGTGCCTCGGCTTATACTTGAGTCGGCTCATACTCGAGTACATACGGGTATCTGCTTAACTGATAAAGTACTAATTGCACAGGATGTAATTAGACAAGGTGTAATTAGGCGGGATAGAAATAGCGTAAATAAATAATAGTGTGTTTTCATCTTATTGCTGAAGTTAGTACCTCTTGTGTTGTTTGATGAATGTGTGGTTCCCCCCACCCCGCCTCACACTTATATCCTGTCTTCCATTCGCTTCTTCTTTCCCTCATGAACTACTAGCCAGTGACCCACTCCACTGAGTATATGCAGTTGTCTTTAATATGTTTAATATGTTTGCTTTGACATTGCTGCTGATGCTGTTATCCACCTTTTTAGGACCAAAACTAACATTGCACATGCCAGACTCGGTTCTGGAGAATTCTTTGCAATTTTTGCAGTAGAAGAACTTAATTGGTTTTTACACAAATATTTTTTAGTGGTGGTGGGGGTCATCCAGAAGATGCCCAGAGAGGGAAACTCCACCACCGCTCTAGGCAATTGATTCTATTGCTGAGCTGCTCTTACTTTCAAGAAGTTCCTTCTAGGGTTCAATTGAAATCCCCTGAGTTTAAAGCCATCTGAACTGTTTCTATTCCCTGGGGCAGCAGCTAACAAGTCTATTCCCTTCTCTCTGTGACAATTGTTTTGGCCCTCAGTCATCCCTTCAACAAATTGAACATGCCTAGCTCCTTCAACCCTTCCTCTTATGTTTTGTTCTCCATATCATTCTTTCTGCCTTTCTCTGAACCTGCCCCAACTTGTCTGTATTTTTCTTAAAAATGAGTCACTCAGTAATGAATAAGCTACTCCAGATCTGAACAGTGCAGATTACAGTGGTACTGTTATTTCACTTGGTTTGGAAAATGTGCTTCTGTTAATGCAGACTAAAACAGCATTATCCTTTTGATTCAGCATCACACTGCTGCCTCATGTTATTTTTGACCAACATTGAGTGCTGAAGCACCAAGTTCTTTCTGTTTGAGCTTCACAAAGTACATTTTATTGAAGATTTAGATTATTTTGATAAGTTTTCCAGAAGTGTAAAGTATTAATTATATATATTCTGGTCATCATCAGTCATCATTGGCGATCACTCGTGTCTGAGTATAATTGTCTTTTAAGTGTTGTGACTTGGCGGTGAGTCCGTAGGTGACTGTAGAGACCTGTTCTTGATCTGCATGTTCTTTCATAGTGAGGACATCGATTTCCAGGTGGAAAGTAGTCCCGGTCAGGGATGGATTGACGCGTCTTCCTCTTGACATGTTTCTCCCTTTCGTCCTGCATTTGTGCCTTTTCAAATTCCACAGCACTGTTGGTCATACCTAACCTCCAGTTAGAACGTTCAAGGGCTAGGGCTTCACAGTTCTCGGTGTCTATGCCACAGTTTTTAAGGTTGCCTTTAAGCCCATCTTTAAATCTCTTTTCCTTCCCACCAACATTCCACTTTCCTTTCTTGAGTTGTGAGTATAATAACTGTATTGTGATGCGGTGATCGGGCATTCGAACAATGTGTCCAATCCAGAGAAGTTGGTGGTGGAGAATCATCGCATCAGTGTTTGTGGTGTCTGCTTCTTCCAGCACACTGACATTTGTCTGCCTGTCTTCCCAAGAGATTTGCAGGATTTTTCGGAGTCAGTACTGATGGAATCATTCTGGAAGTTGAGTGTAACATCTCTAGATGATCCACGTTTTTCAGGCGTATAACAGGGTTGGGAAGACAATGGCTTTATAAACAAGCATTTTGGTTGCTCTATGAATATCCCAATCCTCAAACACTCTCTGCTTCATTTGGAAAAATGTTGCACTTGCAGAGCTCTAGCAGTGTTGTATTTTAGTGTTGACTTTTATGGAGAAGTGGCTGCCAAGGTAGCAGAAGTGATCAACATTACACCATTCAGCTGTATTTCTGCCATTACAGAAGGATTGGCTGGTGCCTGCTGAAAGAGCACTTTGGATTTTTTTCAATGTTCAGTGAGAAGCCAAGCTTTTCATATGCTTCTGTAAAAGTGTTTAGAGTGGCTTGTAGGCCTTCTTCTGAATGAGCACAGACTATGTTATCATTAGTATATTGGAGTTCTATAACAGATGTTGTTGTGATGTTGAAAGGCTTTGGCTTTCAGTCTGCTGAGGTTAAATAGCTTGCCATCTGTCAGATAGATGATTTCCATTCTGGTAGGAAGTTTCTGCACTTCCCCGTCCTTAATAAAGGTCAAACTCCACTGCTCCTCCTTCTTGGGCTTCCTCTCATAATTACACTTTTTCTATTCCTATCTCACCCAGGGTTTTAACATTTTAACATTTATCTCGTGCATCTGGCCTGCCCTTTGTGTTTGATTTTTATTATGTCATTTTGCACTGTTTATTTTATTTTGTTCTTTTATGTATTTTGTTATGTAATTTTTCTGTTGTTTTGTGTTTAATTTTGCTGTATTGTTTTTGGGCTCAGCCTCATGTTAGCTACCCCAAGTCCCCTTCGGGGAGATGGAGGCGAGTTATAAATAAAGTTTATTATTATTATTTTACTGACACAAAAGAACAGTATGTCACAGCAAACGAGATCTATATGCTGGATTTCGTATCAAAAATCACAAGTCAAACACTTCCCAAGCGTCTAGGACTGTTCGTTCCTGACCTTAATTACATTTGTCCTGATGGTCTTCTCCCTGTCAACTTTTCCTTCAATTTTGTCAAGGAAGTTCCCATGCAATGCTTTGATTATTATTATTATTATTATTATTATTATTATTATTATTATTATTATTATTCCCATCAGCAAGGTGTGGTATCATAGCGATGAAGATGGAGAATAAGGTTGAAGCAATAACACATCCCTATTTGACACCTGATTCCACCTTAAATGGTTCACTATGGGTTAGGAGCCACTGCTGTCCAAGACTGTTGTCATCATGGAGGAGCTGCAGGATATTTATGAATTTGTCAGGGCATCAGTTTTTTTGGAAGATAGTCCAGAGAGCATTGCGATTCTCTGTGTCAAATGCCTTTGCAAGGTCAATGAATGCCATGTACAGAGGTTGATTTTGTTCACTACATTTTCCTTGGAGGTCTGTGCAGTGAAGATCATACCCACTGTTCCTCTGGAGGGATGGAAGCCATTCTGGGATTTTTAGAGGATGGCTTCTGAAATAGGTAGAAGGCGTTTTGCCATTATTTTTGTGAGGATTTTCCCAGCGGAGGTTAGAAGGGTGATACCTCAGTAGTTTCCATAGTCTGTTCTTTCACCTTTTTATGAAAAGGGTGATGATGGTGACATCTTTGAAGTGTGCTGGGATTTTCCCGGTCACCCACACTTTTTCAATGAGCTGGTGGTTCAGGTTCACCCTCTTTAAAGATTTCAGCAGGGATCCCATCAGGTCCGCTAGCTTTGTTGTTTTTTAGTTGTCTGATGGCTTTGCTGACTTCCTCCAAATTAGGCAGTGCTGCAAGCTCATCCCTGGTTTGTTGTTTCAAGATAACCTCTTTGGCCACGTTGGAGCTGCAGTTAAGGAGGTTGTGGTAGTGCTCTTTCCAACATAGTGCAGTTGATTTTTTTATCCTTCAGAAGTTTGGTTCCATCTGATGAGTGTAGAGGGTATATGCCATGATTTCTTGGTGCATAGATGACCTCTGTGGCATTAAAGGGTCCCCATGCATCATGAACACCTTCAAAGTGTTGGATTTCTTTAGCCTTTTTTGTCCACCAGATGTTCTTGAGTTCTCTGGTCCATCTTTTGATGCACTGGCATAGTTGGTATCTCTCTGCCATGTTTAGAAGGCTTTCCTTTTCTTATCAATTAACTGCTGGATCTTGTTATCATTTTCATTATAACCAGGATAAATAATGGTGGATTTATATGATCCAAGTAGTTGCAAGTCTGTTTTACTATGATTGGATGCTACTTTAAATTGTGAATAGATATAGTTAGTATTCAGAGATAATTGATATGAAGTATCCATAATAATAAAAGTTGCCATGAGCAAAATATTTCCTACATATATGGGTGGATTTTGGAAGTGCTGGACTTACTCCCCTCAAGCTGCACAGTTGACAGGGTATACACATGGAAATGTAAAGCATTGTTCTTTAGCATTCTTTGTACAATTTTGCTTGCCCTTTTTCGAATTGTCTCAGAGTTTGAAGCTTGTGGATTGATGCTTGATACTGTCCATTGTGTATTTGTGATTTGCGTTTTGTAATTAAGGGCAACAATGGAAGTCCATTGGGTCTCGTTATATATAATGGTTGGTTTAATTTGTTTCACTTCTATCTTGTTAATTGTAAATTGATCATTAAGATTTGAATTCTAATCTGTCACCAGGGTTGAGTGTATTGAAGCTAGAGAAATGATCCCGTTTTTAATCACTGATTATGAGAAACAAATTTTATAATTTTGGTGCATATTGCAGTCCATATATTTTAACACTGTTTTTTATGATGTTATAAATATTGTTAAATGACTTTTAGTGTAGTTTTACTGTTTCACTAGAATGGATAAATTATATTACCATTTTGGCAACAGTAGGTATCCAACTGTGAGAGTTTAATTGAAGTAAAGAGCATGCACCCGGTTGAACTGTTTTTTTTCTGCATGTTCAATTGATGTTGTATTGGACGGCTGCAGTCATTACACTCAAACATTGGAAGTAAAATATCTGTTGAAGCAAAAGGATCAGAATACAAAAAGAACCTGTCTGAAAAACCAAATTGTTACTATGAGGTTCAACCCATTACTAAATTGTCCTGATCTAAATTAATAGAACTGACCATATTTAATTACAATGTCCTAAAATTGCTATATTTTCAATGTGAGAAACAGTTCTACTGAACAAAGCATTTGCAAAATGTGTACATTGTCTACCAAAAATTGAAAGAACAAAGCTGGCTAAAATCCACTTTTGTACATATCCAAAATGTTGAATTTGCTTACAGGAGAAACAAATCAAGGCTTACAGAGACTTCTTGATGCTATTTTTTTCAAGCAGTACTACACCAGTAATACCACTTGCATTCCTGTGCCTAAAATGCAAACAAGCTTGATAGGTTATAGCAAATTCTTAAACTTTTGCAGTTCAACATATACTTTTTAAACATAAAAACATAATAAAAATAGATAAATGAATGTGCAAATTTAATTAAGCAAGTTTCAAGGATAAGCAATGTCTCTTTTAATTTAATTTTATATTTATATCAAAAATGTATTTATTATAAATTTATTATATCAAAATTAGTCCATAGATGTATGCCTTCAACTACTACAGTAATACTTATTTTAATTTTCAACAATGTACTTCTTGTAGAAATAAGATGCTTCTTATGCAGATGTGCAGTGGAATTTTATTAAAGTGATTTCACATTGCAGGATGAAATCTAGCAACATCTATCATGTGTATTCTTAATTCTCTAGATCTGAAGTTGGCCAGCTTAGTCAGGAAAATGAGTATGTTCATGGCAGGCTTGAAAAGATGCAGAAAAGGAATGAGGAATTGGAGATCCAGTGTATCCAACATGGAAAAATGCATGAGAAAATGAAGCTAAGGTAGGAAGCTCTATGAAATTATCCCTTTCTGGTCTCCTAAAGCAATCCTGATGGATCTTTCAATTCTTTTACTATATTGTCAGGAACATGACCAAAATAATTCATTAGATATTAAAAATGTATATTAAACGTTTGCAGTTTTAAAACAATATTCAGTTTCACACATGATTTTAGGCTGTTTCTTTTTATCTGCACTGTTGACCAGATGGATTGACTGATTATATTATATTCAGCTTTTCTTGTATCCTTGTTTGAGCAGCTGTTCACTTGTCTATGTCATTAGCCATATTTTTGAATAGTTTTTTTTAAAAAAATACTTTTATTTTTTAATAAACAGTATTGTTGCAAAGTTAGATACCTGAAAAACTTGAAAACTGTTTAATTTGTATATTTTAGAAAGGCCAAACTTTTTTAAAAAATCCATCTCCCAGTTAAAGTCAGTATCAATTCTATGGTTGGCTATTTAGGATGTGCAGAGTTCTTCCTAGTCAGAAATGTGTAAAATTAGTTGGGCTTGTGGGATCTTTGTTTCTTGTGCTTATTTGATTGATTATTAAATAGTAATGCAATAACTGTGTTTACTGTTGGCCCGGAATAGTGAAATGGAGTAGTTGTTGCTGGAAACTTGTGCTGCAACTAGATTTTATCTTCATTGTGGTTACTATTTTCTCCCATCTCATGTGATTCCTCTTTGTATTTAGTTACAAATCAAATTTCTTGCTTATTGCCTCAGAGGCAGCTGACCTTCTCTAACATGCCATCTGCAATCACCCCTACATCTGCTTAAGAAATGCCACTTCTCTAGTTTTTTCCTCTCACTGAATTTCTAAATGTCTTACTTGCTGTTTATGAGTCTTGTCATTTATAATCCTTTGGCCCAATTTCCAATCCCCTTGGTAATATTCATATCAGAATCCATTAAATTGTGTTTTAGCAGTCAATTGCTTTATAAACAGCAACATGTTTATGTTTCCTAATTTGGTGATTTGTCTTATGGTATAGATTGTTTCCCTATAAATTCATTTTTTGTTAACACCTCACTGCAGACACTTGTTCTTGAGATTAGATATATCTTAAGTGCTATTCAAGGCAGGGTGGTATATAATTCGATGCCTGATATCCAAGTGACCCTTTGCTGCTTTGCTAGTAGTTATTTCTTAATTGTGGCTGACTTCCAAGGTTGTACATATATGAGTGACCAAGCTCTACTTGTGGATGTTTGAGATAGTCTTCTACTCCACTAAACCTGATTATAGATCCCCCTGCCCAGGATCACTGAAGAGAAAGAATAGATCAGGCCTACACAACATATGACCCGGGGGTCAGATGCGGCCTGCACAAGCCATTGGTGCAACCCATACAGCGCTGCCCGCACCACTCGCCAGTACTCTCCTGCCTTCGTCCTCTCTTGTTTGTATAAGAAAGGGAAAAAAGAGACAAAGTAAGTGGAAAAGGAGGAGATAGGCAGAGAAAAGAAAGATAAAGAAAAAAAGAAAGAGGAAAAAGAGGAAAGGGAGGAAGAAAGAGGGAGGAAGACAGAAGAAGGGAGAAAGAAAGGCTCGGAAAAAGGGAAGACAAAAAGGAGAGAAGAGAAAAGGAAAGGGAGGGAGGAAAAAAGGATGTAATAAAGGAGGCAAGGAGAAAGGAAGGGAGGAAAAGAGGGAAGGAATTTAGAATTGAGAAAATGTAGCACAGTGGTTTGAACCTTGACTGTGGCTGTGAAACCACTGGGCGACTTTAGGCAAAGCACACTCTCTACGCCTCAGGGAACGAAAACAGCAGCTACAAATATCCAAACAGCAGCTCAAAAAAATCCTGATGGATCCTTCAATTCTTATACTGTATTGTCAGAAACATGACCAAAATAATTCAGTAGATATTCTGGATTCTTGTAGGAATCAATGCAGAGTTTTCATTTGACATGCACTTCTCAGATACCTATGATCTCTTCCTAGTAATTTTAACTGACTACAGCTCAGGTTATTTCTAGCATGTGGGAAAACACAAACATTTCTTGCACTTGAGTTGGAAACTGTATTTCCTGGGTCCTTCATTGCTTGGTCTCTATGTGTTTGTGTTGTCATCACTAAAATCCTCTTTAACTGGAAATGCTTCTATCAGGTATTTCCTCTTCTGAAATTAAATATGAATGGACTTCTTTGGATATTTCCCACTCATGACTTTGATAGTATCTATATATTTTATCATATCCTGAGCTTCATTTGAATAAATTTAACAATTTACACATGTATTTTATGTTCCGCCTGTTTTCTTTATTTGGATTTTGGATTGTGATTTGCTTTGACAATTTTTCTTCTTTCTTTTTGACTTTTCTTTAGTTTTGGATCATTACTTTCTCTCCAACTCTGATTTGGATAATGGTTTGCCTTGATTTGATTTCACATGGGGTTGTTCGACTAATCTTTGGTCAGTCTTTGGTAGCCAATTATAGCTTCTTCTGGATTTTTTTAAAAAGTGGTGTGTGTGTGTGTGTGTGTGTGTGTGTGTGTGTGGCAAATATCCCTGAGAAGGGTTGCATCAAATGGAAGAGGTATCTTACAGTGGGCCATCTTCCACAGGAGAATGTACTGGCTGATATTCTCTACAGGGCTCTGATTTTGTTTCACAAGTGGAAGAACTTGAATGACCATGCCTTCCTTTTTTATTATCTACAGCTTTCCTCTGTTTCATCTTATCACCAAAACAATATCTACAATTTGAAGCGATACAGTGGGATGCTTTCTGAACATCCCATAGTGGCCCAGACAGTTGTGGTTTCCCTCACTGTCATATCTGTCTTGGGGCAGTCATATCAAGCTTCTGTGTTACCTAGGCCTTCTCACAATCCACATTGGCCAGGTGAGACATCCAGTCTTGGACAATGTCAGTTCTACCATCCTGGGGTATGTTTCTCTAGCTTCTTTCCCTGGTGCCAGTCAACAGATCATTGTGGCAGTGTACAGGGCTTCCATTCAGTGTTCCTATGTGTACAAATGGAAGAGATTCCATTCCATTATGTCACTTTAAGAAATCTCCCTGACTCAATCATGAATTTATCATATGTTTGAATTCCTTCCCTTTCAGATTTCTTCTGCCATCAGCTGCTATTGATGTGTTGATATATGCCATCAAATATTTCCATCAATGCAACTGTTAGATGGGTTTGTTAATTGATTGATTGACTGAACTCAAAAGAATGCTGCTCACCAATGGTTTCTCTTCATCCTGAAGAACAGTGACTAATAGGGTGCATCAGGGTCTGTCTTGGCTCCACTGCTATTCAACATCTTTAAATTACTTGGGTGATGCAACAGAGAGCATGCTTATCAAATCTGCAGATGAAACCAAATTAGGTAGAGTACTATTCATCCAAAGGACAAGATCAAATTTTAAAATGACATTGACAGAGTTGAAAGATGGGCCTAAACTAACAAAATGAATTTCAACAGCAGGAATTGTAAGCTACTTTGCTTAAACAGAACAGAATGAAATGCATAGATAATGTGTGACAAGGGTACATACAAAAAGGGTTTAGACTTCTTTGTAAACCCCAATATGAACTTGAATCAACAGTGTGATGTGGCAGCTAAAAACTGAAGTTCTAGGCTGCACAAATAGGAGAATAGTGCCTAAATCACAGGAATTCATAGTCCCACTCTATTCTGTTCTGGGCAGACCTCCCCAGGAATACTGTGGGTATTCCTGGGGAGGTCTGGGTACCACAATTCAAAAAGTCTATTGAAAAACTGAAATGTCTCTAAAGCAGAGAGATCAAAATGGTAAAAGGTTTGGAAACCATTCTGTGTGAGGAATTGTGTTAAATATTTCTTAAACACTTGCTCAATATATATAAAGTAGCATTAGCCTAGCTGTGACACAAGATTGAGACAGCTGACAGGCAATGTAAGAGATAGTATTCAACAAACTATAAAAAATGTAAATATCCCAAAAAAACCTTCCTGTATTTATACTTTAGAAAGACATTATGCCATAATACATACATAATGTACGCCACAATACAATATTCGTTGAAATGCATTCCTTCTAGTAATGTCTCACACTAAATAGCTATTTCTTTTTCAATTGCAATGACTAATTTCCCCGACATGCACAATTCCAAAACAGAGTTTTAGTCTGTTTACTTTATTTCACTTGCTGTACATCTACAGGAATCGTTAATATTTTGTTTTTGTTTTTTTAATTGGCTTCTAACACCTACTTGATCTCTTTCTAGTACTACAGTTCAAAGGAAAAGCCTAGAGGACTGGCAATTTGAGGCAGATGTGTGTCTATTCCTCAGGCATCAGTGGCTGTATGTTAACAATAAAAAAAGTTACAGCCATCTGTGTAACAAGACGGCAGATATCTGCATTTCCCTTTTACTATGAATAAGAGACAATCTTGTCTGACTTCATAGATGTTAGATTTACAAAGATTCAGTGTGTCAAATCTGCACTGTGTGCCATGCTGTTGGGATGTATTGGCAGCCAAGTACCTGGAGTGGTCTTCCCTTCAGACATTTTAGGAAAGCACAGCATTTCTGCAAAGCTGTCTTTCAGTCGCTCATGTTAGCTGTAAGGCATTTTTGAAAAAAACAAAGCATGTATGGAAATGGATTGGATTCCCTTTTTCCCTCATAGGTAGTTTGTATAACTACATAATGCCTTATTTTTTTCAAGGGGTCCATTTAATCAAATTGAATGAAATTATGGGAGAATGACTGCAATAAACTATAGTATTTTCATAAATACTATACAAATCATATGGCTGACTCTCTTGTTCATACTGCTGAATTGTGTGTTCTGCATCTATGCACCACAGACATATTATACAGTTCTTAAGTCATATATAGTAGGCTGGCAAGTTAAATAAATCTTATGGCATGATCTAGCATAGCAAGTATACAGTTCATATGCAAAAAATTCCCAAAAGATAAGATGAGTGAGACACATTTTTATTCTTGTCATCCTCACCAGTGCACATAAACAGGCAACACAGTA